CAACCGCGTTCTGCAGCTTCAGGTCTGCTTAGTTCACAACAGAATGAACAATAACAGCTGAGAGTGGCCGAATGGCGCCAACGAGAAACAGCAGACGAGCGTCAAACACGACTCCGTGCTCAGCATTCACGCTGCGCTCTGGAGAACACATTCATTTGCGTGATGCTGTTGTAAACGACGGTACGGCAAAACCCGTTGGAAGACTAACGATTTTGTCATCCAACATATACCGGCAGTCGGAGACCGATTTCAACGCAGTATCCACTTACTTTTCGGGATGGTGCCGATGGATATCACCTCAACGTTAGGATGATAAATCCAGTCAGTGACGAGGAAACGCACATTAAATGCAGCGCAATGAACTACTACTCCTGCCGACTTATGATTCGGCAGAATGTAAGTAATCCCCTTTTGAAATGCTGCAAATTGCTTCATCACTGCATTGTGGATACGTATGCAAAAATCGAAACAGGACGCCGCCTTTTCATTCGCTTGAATCAGACCAAGCTGCGCTCTAAATAATATATTCCTTTGCATGATGCGGTTGTAAACGACAGTAATACAACTAACATTGTAGGGCTACTGATTTTGTCCTCCACATACACAGACAGTCCACGCCATATGCTCAGATACGCTCGAGGTGCAATTGCTTATGTTTGTCAGTACGGGCGTCCAGACCTACTCATTCCATTAACATGCAATCCAGCTTGGGGGATGTTTATCAGCTCTTACCTCCTGGGCTATCGACTGTAAATAGGTATGACATCACAACCCGTGTTTTCAGGAAGAAACTGCAATCGCTGATGAACTTCATAGTGAAACACGAGATGGTTGGGTCTGTGCGCTGCTGGATGTATTGGGTGGAACGGCAAACGAGGGGACTGCCCCTCGCACATGCCTGGATCTGGCTCTACAACAAGATCACTTGCAACGAAATCGGCGATGAAATATGCGCTGAATTATCTGACGCCGACGTCGACAATGATTTGCACGCAGTTGTGGCGATGAAAACGATCAGGGAAAGACGTCGGCAAATTGACAACTGTACGAATGCGAATCGGTGACGTACAAGTCGGTAACCGCTGGGTTTTTTCGTATTCGCCTTTACTTTTGAAAGCAAACGAAGCTCACATAAACGTGGAAAACCGCAATTCCGCGAAATGAATTAGGTACATTTGTAAGTATGTGAATACAGGCAGCGACATGGCCGTTTTCGATCTGCAACACGAAAGGAGGGGGAGGGATGTGGACATACAACTCGATGAAATCACGCAGTACAGTTAGAGAATGAGCAATGCGTTTACTTTACAGCTGCAAATGTGCAACAGGTTGCCTTAGAGCCACCGGCAACAACATTAACTGCGTTCTTCACGTTAAGCCAAAATGACGCGTTTGCAAAACCACTGCTGCATTCGGAAGTGCCTAAGTATTACACAGGGAATGCGTGCAGAAGGCATCTTCCGTCGAATACGCAAGGACAAATCAAATGATGATTTCACAGTAGAAAATCTACAACGAGGTGTTAATAATGATTGAGGATGTGTACGTAGAAATCACGAACAAAATTCTCAATCAAATGGGAAAGCCATCACCAAAAGCGATCTGCTACTACTTCGTTAGACGTGGATTTGCGGCGTGAGCAAACCTACCACAGGGTTGATCTTCTGTCGTATCTGCAATCAAGCATTCCTAAGCTAACACTGGAGCAGGATGGTATTTACGATCAAATAATGCGGACTGCCAATAGCGGGGTTGGAGGAATCTTTTTGGATGCGCCAGAAAGGGATTGGCAAAAACGTTCATACTACTACTACTGATTCTGGCAGCACTACAGTCCAAAATTGACATAGCTTTGGCTCTTCTGTCGTCCGGAATAGCTGCGAACTTGCTACCCGGTGGAAGAACTGCTCATTCAGCTTTGCAATTGCCGTTGAACGCGCAATTCATTGGAACTCCACGTGCGACATTTCCAAGACATCCGGCATGGGAAAACTACTGCAGAAATGCAAACTTATTGTTTGGGATGAATGCACAATGGCACACAAAAATGCTGGAGGCCCTTGACCGATCATTGCAAGATTTGCATGGACACAGCAGACCATTTGGAGACGCATTGCTACTGTTTGCAGGAGACTTGGGCAAACACTGCCTGTAGTTCCTCGATCGACACTAACCGACGAAATAAATGGCTGCCTAAAATACTCTACGTTGTGGCGCCACCTCCAGACGTCAAAATTAACTACGGATATGCCTGTCCAGCTGCAAAACGACTGAACAGCTGCGATATTCTAACACCAATTGCCGGCAATTGGGAACGGATCGGTGCCGGTTGATCCGACTTCAGGACGCATTTCACTGCCTCCTACCTTCGGAAATTTAGTGTCGTCAGAAGAAGACTTGGTTGAAAAGGGTTTTTCCAATATTCAAACCAAGTATACGAATCACGATTGCCTGAGCGAACGAGCTATCTTTGCGGCCAAGAACCACGAAGTCTACCTACTTAACCATACTATTCAGTCTAAGGTACAAAGCGGGACAGTTCCCATGCACGTCCGTCGACACTGTTGTGGAACCAGGCGAGGTAGTTAATTGTCGCACAGAAATTTTGAATCCGCTTAATCTGCCAGGGACGATGGCGCGGTTACTATGATTGAAAATCGGTGTGCCGGTTACAATGCTGCGAGAAATCAACCAGCCGAAGCTTGCCAACGGCACGTGGCTTGCAGTAAACCCATTAGTGAACAACGTACAGGGATCCAATATCTCGACAGGACCTTTTAAAGGAGAGCATATCCTTATTCCTCGCATTCCACTGATTCCAACTGACATGCCATTTCGATTTAGGATACTGCATTTCCCCATTCGACTGGCGTTTGCATTGTAGATCAGCAAAGCTCAGGGCCAGTCCTTAGAATTGTGCGGTTTTGGATCTGCAAACGGATTGCTTCTCACATAACCAATTATACGTTGCGTGTTCCTGAGTCGGCAAAGTAGACAAATTTTTGTGTCTGCGCAGACGACGCAACGACAACAATATCTTATATCCACAACCATTATGCACTTAAGCATATGAGAAACGTGTCCCCTTCCTCTTTTCTTTCTATTACATTTCATCAGACTGAGCCACAGCAACGCGTGGCGGGGTCCAGCTAGTCCTTAATATTCAAAGTTCACTTCCACGCATGTCTCAGTCCCTTGGTAGCTCTAATACCACATTAACTTCTCCCATTCATTAAAAACCTTCTGCAGCTCCTATGGGATACACCGATTTTACACAGATGCTTTAAACCGTTGGGCGAAAACACACTCGGAAATAACTGGCGCCTCGAAAAAACTTCCGGATTAGGTCCCCAATTATAAGGTTGATTGTGAACAGCAAAGGTGGACTTTATTTCCATACTTCCATGCGTTTTAATTCATAAATATGCCACACCATACAAATGAAACAATATATGACAAAAGGGGGAGGTAGTCGGTACTTTTAGGGAAGCACTGCATCTGTTGATAGACAAAATACGGAAAACTTGCGACAGTCTAGTAATTCACTGCTTGTCTGCGATGTTTGTAGTTTCACCCACATATCCAGAAGGAGTCGTCTGAGTAAGTACGTCTGAAGCTCGATGTACATTTATGATTGTAATACTTGTGGTGATCGCCATGGCCATTGCGAAGGACAATCCGATCACAGCAAACAGAGGGCAATAGGTCGAATCCAACTTGGCGAAGTAATATGCAATTGCAGCCAGAGAGAGGATGCCTCCAAGCCAGGTCAGTCCTAGGGAGACTGGCATGGCCCAGGACCTTGAGGTTACGCAGTCCACAATGACAACTGCGAGGGCCACGAGGTTGACCAAAATGGCACAGACGAGGAGGGCCCCCACAATCTGGTAGGGCTCCTTCTCTACTGAATTCAGGCAGGAGCTCAACACGCCACCACATCGCCAGCTTTGCAGCACCACGGCGAGAATGAGAAAAAGGAGGGAAAGAAGGAGACCAACAGCGAGGTGACTTTTGGTTTTATCCATTTTTGTCCTCTGCTGTTCCCGTTTGTATGCCCAAAACTGATGTGCAGATGAGAAGCAGGAATGGAAGACGAAGCAGTGACTCTGCGACCTGCAGTCACCGTGCTTACGGCAATGCGTCAGACCTAATGTCCAGGTTGGGGGGTGCCTTTTATGCGGCTTCTCGCCTCGTCTGTCTGGCGCGTTCTGATTGGTCACATGCGTAGGACCTTGACGACAGCATCCTCCGATCAATCGGTGCTCGGACTCGCTCGCTCGTGCGCGCGTGCGTGCGTGCGTGAGCGTAGTTCTGGAGGAGCAGTTGTCCGCTGGGGCGTCAGTCGGCACGTTATGTCACTTCTCCACTGAGGGGAAGGCATTGTTGATCTACCACAGTGCGTAAGCACTCATGATGCCTTAGCAAGAACCGCAGACGAACTGCACGGGGACCAATGTACCAAAGTCACAGCGTCCTCATCCTCCTTTTTGTCAGTCAACTATGACGTGGCCAAAGCGCCAGCTGACGACATCCAGTAGACTCTGCGAGGGTTGTAAACTAATCTCGCATGAACTCGAAACTCACTTTCATGTATACCAACGCGCAAAGTGTACTTCCAAAAGTGGATGGACTCCGAATCCATATCTTCGACCTCCACCCAGACGTTATCTCAGTAGCACAAACATGGTTGTCCGAACAGGTATATGATAGGGAGCTTGCGCTTCCTGGATTACAACTGTTCCGCAGTAACAGAAAAATCAACCAGAAGGGGTGGTGGCATAGCAACATTTACTAAGAATGACTTCTACGTTTCAGAAAAAACCGCAAAGCTGATCTGTAGTACGGAAGCGTTATAGCTGACCATAGGGCATCGGGCCCTCAAAGTCTCGGTATCTTGACAGTATATCGTCCCACAAATAAATTACTCTGACGCTGATGCCCAACTTGAGGAGGAATTCTACGCGGCCGAATACGCTCATGGTTGGGGACTTTGATGCATCTCACATCGAATTGGGCTCGGCATCCGCTGACTGCTCCGAAACAGCATGCGACCAGCAGCTACTGCGACCACAGGGCTCATCCGGAGGAATGTCCGGGACGGCAGCTTTGAGACGGTCCACGCTCACGACCTCCTCGCGAGTTCCGCGTTGGATGCGGAAGTTCTTCGTCCCACGAGAGATCACTCGGAAGGGGCCCTCGTAGGGTGGTTCTAGGGGACGGCGGACTCGATCCCATCGGAGATAGACGTGAGAGCATGTCGTCAAGTCTTTATCGATGTAAGACTCGGATAGGGATGCCCTCGGCGGAACCGGGGAAAGTGTCCGCAGGAATTGCCGGAGGCGATGCAGGAGGTTGGTAGGATCCTCAACTGCAACTCGCGGGGTTGGCGAGATCATCTGACCGGGAAGTCGGACGGTGGCACCGAACACGAATTCAGCAGCAGAACAATCAAGGTCCGTCTTGAGGGAGGAGCAAATGCCCAACAGAACCAGGGGGAGGTGGTCTATCCAGTTCTCCGGATCGTCTGCGGCGCGTAGGGAGGCCTTCATGTGGCGGTGAAATCGCTCGACCATCCCATTGGCTGCCGGATGATAGACCGTAGTACGTATGCGAGTACAGCCTAACAAGGAGAGGAGAGACTGGAAGAGGTTAGATTCAAATTGGGCACCGCGGTCAGTCGTGATTGTGGAGGGTGCACCAAAGCTAGCAACCCAACGACTGAGAAAAGCCTTGACCACCGTTGGAGCAGCAATGTCAGGCAGGGGAATTGCTTCAGGCCACCGAGTGAATCGATCCACAAAGGTGAGGAGATAGGAACAACCATTGGACAGAGACAGAGGGCCTACAATGTCCAGGTGAACGTGGCTGAACCTTGCACCAGGGCCGGGGAAAGTGCCAATGGGGGCCTTGTTGTGCCGCCGGATCTCACTCCGTTGACAGGCAATACAAGCCCGTGTCCATGCTTTGAGGTCTTTGTGCATCCCAGGCCATACGAAGCGGTAGGAAACCAGCTTGTCGGTTGCTCGACTCCGCGGGTGAGAGAGATTGTGCAGGGAGGAGAAAGCTTTGCGGCGGAGGGATGGTGGCACAAATGGACGATGGGAAGGAGTGGATAAGTCGCATAAGATGGTGCCGTTGCCAGTTGTCAGTGGTAGTTCCTGAAGTTGGAGTCCGGAAACATCCTCATCACAGGATGGACCGACACGGCATTGTTCAGCGGCCATCTCAGTGAGGTCTATCCCGAGTGAAAGCTGAAGGTGAGCGATAGAGGGCCTGGAGAGTGCGTCAGCCACCTCATTCCGTGACTCGTCAATATGGCGGACGTCTGAAGTGAACTGCGAAATGTAGTCCAGGTGGCGGATCTCCCGGGGACTTAGCTTGTCAGAGTGGGAGTGCATTGCAAATGTGAGTGGCTCATGATCTGTGAAAATTGTGGACTCTCGACCTTCGAGTAAATGCCGGAAGTGTCCTACGGTAAGATAAGCAGCGAGAAGTTCATGTTCGAATGTACTGTAGCGTGTTTCGGCCTTGGATAGTTTCCTGGAGAAGAAGGCCAAAGGCACGGTAGGATCTGGCAGACTTTGTTGAAGAACCGCTCCAACAGCAACATTAGAGGCATCGAACATCAGAGATATGGGTGCATCAGCATGAAAGTGAGTCAGGAGGGTGTAATCAGCCAGAAGAGCTTTTACCTGCTCAAATGACGTGAGTGCTGCTGGTGTAATTTCAAAGGTGCGCTTAGAACCTGAAAGGAGACTGATCAGAGGTAGGATGGTATAGGCATAGTTCGGGAGAAACCGGCGATAAAAGTTCACCATACCAAGGAACCGTTGCAACTGACGCTTTGAGGTAGGGGGTGGAAAGTCCCGAATGGCGGCAACCTTTGAGGGAAGAGGCCGAATGCCGTGGGAGTCGACCAGATGACCGAGAAATTCTAGGGAGGAAACACCGAAGACGCACTTGGACGGGTTGAGAACAACGCCAAATTGTTGAAGGCGATCAAACACCGTTGCCAGATGCTCCATGTGTTCTTCAGCGGTGGAGCTAGCTAACAGAAGGTCGTCGATATGGGCGTAGACAAATGGTAGGCCGCAAAGCACTGTCTGCGAACATTTGGAAGGTCTGGGAGACGTTGCGAAGTCCAAACGGCATGCGCAGGAACTCAAAGAGGCCAAAGGGGGTTGTGACGGAATGCCCCCGAGATTTGGGTGGATGATCCGTTATACCCATAACTGGGAGGATGGTCCGAACAAACACGTTGGAAAATTCCGTTAGCGCTAGTCAAGTGTACTCTTTAAATCCTTTCTTAAATCTGTTGAGGTGATCATCGCATCACGTCACCTGCAAGACCATGTCATGTTTCCGGGACATGATCGTTAGTGCTGAAGTTCAGCGGAGGAACATCAGGTGGGCATGGAAGCGCCCGTTTATGAGAGACCCTGTCAGTTTACAGTTTCGTTCTCCGTAATGGTGGTGGTGGTGGTCGGGGTGGGGGTGATGTGTGTAGAGAATGAGATTCCAAGATAAAACATCGCAGAAAAGGGGGATGAAGTATCTGTCAGGCGTTTCAAGTAGCAGCATCGCTATCCCAATCTTCAGAGACCGGTGCATCATCTTTGCTGGTCGACCTCTACAACGAGTCTGCCGGTCGGTACTACCACACACCTCAACCCTTAGTCTGGCGGCTCATCGATGCCTGCATTCTTCATCTTATCATATACTGCTCTCCTGTCATGTTTCCTGCTTTGCTCAAAAAAGACCTTTTGATTTTAAAACGAGTCCTCCGAATGCTCTCTTCTGAGGCTGGTGTTTCTTATCTTTTTTAGTCGATATTATCCTACAAGGACATTGCAATACGGTCAAGCAATTTGCTGGTCGGATGAAAGATGACGTCGCCCATCCTCTGCAATCTGATCTTATTTCTGAGAAGTCTTCCCGCCCGATGCGCCGCGGCTTCCGAATTATGTCTTGTCGCACATCGGCATTTCGAGCTTCTGTACTGCCATTCCTTGTGCGCTATCGTACGTGTGAAGAGATAGAAATACAGAAGTTGAGATTTAAACTGTCCTAATAATAATCGCTCCTTTTATGTTATGCCTTTTGACTCTGATATAATCTACTAACTTATTTACTGCCCATAGTGAATGGAGCAAATATTTTGTTGTAAATTTTAAATTATGATTTAGAATTAAAGCGTATTCCTCTCTCTCCCTCTCCCTCTCGCACTCTCTCCCTCTCTCTCTCTCTCACTCCCTCTCTCATAGTTGACTAATTAAACAACGTCTTCCCAAGGGGGATTACGGAATTCTGTAGGGTAGATCGCATCTCTCCTCCGCGTTCATTTGATGCGATAGTGATAATGACCGTTGTTTTTACCGAACGAAACCACTAAGTACGAGTGGAAAAGCCCGGTTTCCAGACCAGTCATACATAAGTATGTTGACTCGTAGTCATAACCATAAGGTAACTGGCGCCACGGAATTATTTGATATTTCAAAAAAGCATCAGCCTATCGTCTGACGAGTTTTACGTCGAATTTCATCAAGCCATGTACATCCA